ATGAATAATATATATGTATATATATATGATATATACAAGCCATGTGTAAATATACTTAAATAGGCATGCATAGTTTAGTTCAATTGAATGTGTTATTTATAACAACAGTAGTTTTTTTCTTTTAAAAACATAACTATTTATAATGCTCTCTAAATAATAAAAAAATAAATTACAGTGAAAGCAATGAAGATTTTGTAGGTTTTGAACCAAACTAAATAACAGTAAACCTTTTTTTGATTTACGGTATTTTCATATTTTGAGCTCTTTTGTATTTAGAACAATATATACTCATTTTTAAAGTATCAAATTGAATTTTTGTTCAATAAAAATCTTTCAAATACGACTGTAGCTTTTTTCCCCAAAACTTTGTCTTCAAAATAAGGGTGCATCTTATATTCTGAAAAATACAGTAACATTTTTAGCAAAACAAGTTTATAAGCAAGCCAAGTTTTCATTACTTGTTAATTAGAAGGTTAAATGTATTACACTTAAGTTTTAAATCCATTCTATTTTTGTTTACATATATTTTTTACATTTCTTTTGAGTGATGATATTTGCCCATTCTGATAAGGCTTAACGTAAACATCGCCTAAAAAATATGTGGCTTATCAACAAAACCAAACTTGATATAAGATTGAATGCAAATGATCTACATAAGCCTAGCAACTCTCTATTTCATATTGTTCCACAAAAAGTATTTTTCTAATCATACTGCAAAATCACAATTAAAATGATTTATAAAATCATAAGGTAAGCTTTTTGCAAATTCAAAGAAAAAAAGAAAGAAAAAAAAGAAAAAGTCAGGACTGTAGTTGTGGTGGAAGTTATTCACAAATATCTTTTCATCTAATAACATATCACCAAGCTAAGTTTTATCACTTTGTTCCAAACTCTTTGTGAGTTTCTTCTGAATTGAAATATTGATTTAAACAGTTGAAAAAAAAAAAAGAGCTTTCATTGCATGTTTTTGTTCAGAGCATGCCATCAACCCAAAATCAAATTCTGGAATTTAAAAAAATTATTAAAAAAAATGAAATAAAATTCTCTTATAATTTTCAACTCTGAAATGTTTTAAATGTATGGAAGAATGACTTCAATTGTTTAATTCCATGGTGCAATTTTGCCCTCAGGGACTGTGTGGCGAGGAATTGATTGGACATTGTTATAGGTCATGTGATCAGACATGAGGTCAATGAGAAATACAATACTTCTAGGACACTAATTTTGGACATATTAAATGGGACTGTATTGAGTCAAATAGTGAAAGAGTTATTTCTTGAAGTGGATCAGTTTGGTTTTTATGCAAATTAGTCAGAAAACCAACAAGTTGGATTAACATTTTAGACAACTGTTAACCACTAATGATGACATAGTTGCAAGAGTTGAAGTGGAGGGAATATTTAGGGAAGAGTGATCACTGCAAAACTAATTTCATATTTTGTTACCTGGTGTGATAGAAAATTAAATTTTACTTCTTAATTTTTTAGAAATATAATTTTGAATCCTTGATTTATTGTTAGTGAATTGGAAAAAATGAGTTAAAAGGTAATGTGGGATAGATTTGGGAAATTTTTCAAAATAAGTAGCTTTTAATTAAAGATATTCTTGTACATAATTATCAGAAAGAGCTAACTGGGAAGACTAAACCTAATTGACTTATTTAATATATAAAAGAGAAAGTTTAAAAAATTTACACTGACAGATAGGTCGGAAGCTTTACAAATGTATGGGAAAGATAGGGACTTAATTCAAAATAAAAAAATTAAGAAATCTAAAATGGCTGATTGATAATGTTGAGACCATGTTTTTATTTGTATAAGAAAATTCATAGAAAAATCAAAGCAGTCAATGTCCGAGAAACCCCGAGATTTATCCTAGATAAGTTTTGAATACTGTATGCCTGTAAAATGTGCACTGCGTGTATGTATATTAAGGTAAATTATGCAACTAGGAGCAGTAAGCTTCAAAATGTCATACAAGCAGTCAGAGTACTACTAAAAGATAAGTTAATGACATCACAAAATAAAGTATTCCACTATGAAATCATGATCAACATCTAAAGTGGCTTTGAAACTACATGTATCAAAACCTGCAAAAAAAGAGTTCTGCACAGAAAATAATTACTGCAGCTGCAGTGAAAGGGTTAATGCATATAGTAAGATATATATGCTGCTCGATTTGTTTACTACAATGCTAGTGCCAATTTTACATATGGAATGCATGCCAAAATGTTTTTTTTTTAAATATATATATATAACAAATAGAAAACTATTAAATTCACAGAAATGCCAAATGTGAGTATCAAAAGCATCAGGCTTTCAAGCACCTTTTGGCAAAAGTTTTTTTTTAATTAATTTATGGGACAATTATGATATTCTTAGGTTTTTTTTTCCAAAGAACTGCATCAAAATCTTACCTTTTTTCAACAAATAGCAATAAATAAACTCAGAGATATGACTTATTTTGCTCCTTAACTGTTTTTACTCTGAATCCTAGTCTTCAGCATTGGTTACCATTGCATACTTCATACTTGAAAAACACAAAAAGAAACAAATGGTTAGAATCAGTTGATTTATCAAATTTTAGTAAATGAAACCTCTAAAAGCTTAGACTTATACTGCTTCCACCCTAACAATTAAAAACTATATTTTATAAGGGCTGGAAAATTTTTCAAAAATTACTTCTAATAGAACAATTAGCTAGTTATTTGTAAGGAGCATGTGACTACAGAAGACTTATTAATGTCAAACAGCTATCACCTTATCTGGAAACCATCCAGTCTATATCAGGATAATTCTTACAAACATTATGCATCATGGCTCTGATAAGTAAAATAAATTGATAAATCCTCCATTGCATTTTCTTCTGTCAATAAAATGTTAAAACTCGTATCCTGGTTTGTAATTAGGAAACATGAAAACTGAACTCCCCTTCATAAAAATAGCTTATATAAAGCATGATCAAATTAAGAATTAAAATGATAATGACAACAACTATGCAATGATGCAAGTCTAAAGTGTTGGTCTTTCACATAACCAAAAATAATAAACTTTGAAAGAAGATACTGACATTTTCTTTTGACTGTCTTATTTCTTTCATTGCTATTTTGCACCTCAATAAGTCTGGAGCACCACCTACTTCATACAATTTTCTTTTAAAATCTCTTATCAGCTTCTTCAAACAACATTTCTCCTAACCTTAGTTTCTCTAACATTTTTTTTTTGTCCTTATTGCCTAGTTTTATTTTACTTTCTTTCAGCTTTCTGCTAGTTTCCTCACATCCTCTTTCCTGTTCACCTTTATGCCTTCATTTGAACACATTATCAGCATGCTTCCCGGCTTCTCATAGTTATTGATAAGAACTTCCAAGTGAAAGTAAAAAAGACTATGATAATATATCAATCAAGCTATATCTGCTATACCCAGTGCCGATGCGGCCTTTCACTCAATCCGTGTCCTTGTTACAGGTTTTTCTGAAATCCCCCCCCCCATTAACTTTTACCATATTCTTCACTATTCATAACACATTAATGGAATTATCTAATTAAAGTTATTTTCCTTTGTAACCTGTTTTCAGACAGGCTCATTTCAACTTCACTACTTCCATTAACAAGACATGAAGATGCTTTTACAAGTTTGGGCACAATGTTGTATGTGTTAGCAGCAATGCCACTTTGCT